GTCACTTTACCACGATCCCATGAACGAAAATGCCACTGGCAGATCCAATTTTATATACTTTTTTTTTTTATTTTTTTTTTATTTTTTTTTTTAACTTATCCACGGTACGTAAGTTCTCATCCCTCTGGCTAGTATTTTCTTTTATTCCTCGGTTGTCGTTTTCACTTGGCACGATTCTTCCTTTTCTCCTTCTTTCATTCACCGGACGTCATCCTATTCGTTCGTTGCTATTCCTCTTGTCTTACACATTCTCTTCTCTGTTATCTCGTTTCCTTTTCTGTTCTCTATTACCTTCGTTGTTTTGTTAGTTGGAAACGAATAAGAAGATGGAATGTATAAAGGGACAAGGATTAACACGGGGAAGCGTTAAATTAAATTTATACCTTTGCAATTCTCTGTAATATCCTTTGCTTGTACCAGGGCACACTCGTATTGTATATATTCCTTTTTGTTTGTCTTTGTTTATTTTTTTGTCTTTTTTGTTTTCTTTTTTTTTCTTTTTTCTCTTCTTTTTTTTTTTTTTCTTTTTTTCCTTCTTTTTTTTTTTAGCGATCGCATAACTTGAAACCTTCGTTCGTTTTTGTTAACGTTGAAAATCTGGGATTATTTATTTTAATTTGTTTATTTGTTTGATAGAGAGATGTACGACTTAACGTGTAAATAGTATTAAAGTATATAGGACGGATTAATGTTTAGAACTTTTCATGGATAAATAATCATTAATAAAAGTTTATAAAAATACCTTCGAGAACTTTTGTAGACACGTTGATATTGTAATATTTAAAAAACGAAATAATAATGCATTCCTCTATAATACGTACTTCAAAATTGCGATCTCGAATTTGGTAATAACAGCAATAAATTATTAACATGTGGTAATGCAACTCTCTTATAAAGCTGCGATACAGTCAGCTCGAATTTTAACTCAAACTCAGTTATGTTTTTAATTCACAAAGTCAGTTTAATGCGTTAAAAAATTGTAAAGGACATGAGATAAAAACTACGCTTTTGTTTTAGTTATTTTAATGCATTTACAAGATGGATTTCAGTATGAAATGCAAAAGAAAATTGATACATTTTCATATTCATTGTTTCTTAGTGGATAAACAGGATTATATAATATAATATATTTATCAGATAAATTTATTCTTTTTGACAGTTAAAATTTATTTTCGTTTGATTCATTTATTAAAGTACATTCGTACGTTACATTATATTTTTTAACAATTGAAAATAATTTGTCATCTTTTCTCTTCATTAATGATAAATAAATTGACATTGATATTATGTTATAAACTAATTTACAGACATTTTTCATTGTTTCTTTTTTATATGTTTTTAACACATCACAAATTTTCTTTCATAATCTTGTGTATGTAAAAAGATAAAAGAAAATGAATTATATAAGTATGATAAGAAAGAATAATAATAATTTTTAATACTACAGTTTTATGAAAGAATATAATAATTTAAATATCTTAAAAGAATTGTAGAAATACAAAGAGTTATAAGAATTAATAGAGTTAAAATATTCAAAAGAATTTAAATAATTAGATTAACATATGCATTCATATTTTACATATAATATCAGATAATTTTTGGAGCAATATTTTAAAATTTATATATATATATATATAGGAACTAAAAGTGAATATTATTTTAATTCATCGCTTGACGAATTCGTGAAAGGAAATCTCTGGGTTTGACTGCAAATAAGTGCATAGACAGAATAGTTTAATAATATCGTTACAAATGAATTCATTTCTTGTTTGCACAGTCATCATTTTAATTTAATTGCATACAAGTGTTTAATAATATCGTAACAAATGAATTCATTTCTTTTGTTAAATAATCACATCATTCTACCGTTCATTAAAGATTAAGACATTTTGGCTCAAGACTAAACTTCTATCTTACGATCTATGAAGTAAAGAAGGAAATATTCTGTTTTTTTTTTTTTTTTTTTTTTTTAATTCGTTGAAAATTTCACTTTCGGTAGCCTCAACGATACCACTTGAATTAGTTAAAGAACGTATTGGAAAACTTGTCGAGCAGCAAAACGAAGTGACTTGGTTAAAACGCTCCTTTGGGTTTACAAAGCTATATTAGACGTCGTTTCTACATCGTGAAACTCCTGTGGTAGGTACTGCCTAATAAACTTGCTCTCTCTCTCTCTTTCTCTCTCTTTCTCTCTCTCTTTTTCTCTCTCTCTCTCTCTCTCTCTCTCTCTCTCTCTTGAGAATTTCCATGCATTTGGGAATCATTGAACGATTTTAGATGAATAATAAATATCGATACGAATTTTAACTTAAGATAAACCATTCTTTAAAGTCGATCATCTAAAAATACGTAGGATATCTTGAATCGATCGTAAACGAAATAGACGCTTTTTTGTCAATAAACTTGTATTCTCTAAATATATTTCCTTTTAATTTGATTTGTGTGCTCGTGTGTATACGTTTGCACGTGCCAAATATGAAAAACGAAGAAAATAATCACTTTGAGTATAATAAATTATTTATAGAAAATTCTATATTTACGAATTGGTTTACGAATGAATTATATCCATACGCTGTTCGTACAAAAGAAATAACTAATAATTTATATATATTGAATTGTTTGTTAGTAATAAAAGTTAAAGAGTGACGAATTTATGCAATTTTCGACAGTGAATAAATACGAAAAAAAAAAGAAAAAAAAACAATATAATGAATTACTAGGTCGAAAGAGAATACAAAATCATTGGATAAAAATTGTGGAGTTAGATGAGATCTTAAGGAAATACAATTTATATTCGAAGTTCAACGATAAAGCTTTTCTTAAATGTATACTATGTTCTAAGTGAAATAAATGGATCGATAGTTCATAGTTATTAATAAAAAGTATAGCTATTGGACTTTTTTCTAGTTTGGCACGAAATTTAAGATCTTGGTATAAGTTGGAAAAGATCTTTTTGAAAAATCCCATGGATTTCTCGTATGTTAAACGAAATACCAAGTTATTTATCGTTAGACTTTTTTTTATACAAGAAGATTACGATCGTCGAAGCTTTAAAAGGGATGGATACCGATACAATTATATCGAAGGAATTCAATTTCTTCGAAGCTCGTTTATCGATGCTTTGATCGTCTCGCGATCCGATTCTTCCTCGTTTCGACAGAAACGAAGCTACAAATCGTACGTTTCAACGAATTAGTTTGCTTATCCGACGTTTCTCGTTTTAATAGAAGAAAGAGCAATAAGGATTCCTTTCGTCTGTAGTACTTTGGTCGAATTACTCGTACGATTCTTTGAGTACACGGATTTTAATCGAACAAAAAAAGAAGAAGAAGAAGAAGAAGAAAAAAAAAACAGAAAAGAAAAGAAAAGAAAAGAAACATCATACATACATACGTACTTACGTACATATGTATACTTTTCATGTATACACGTTTAATGGTAAGTTATTTCCTTTTCCCCCGCAATGTAATTAAAATTTTCACTTTACCACGGTAGAAAACGTAAAATGGTTCCATTGGCTTTTATAAATTTACATTTCCTCGTACAATCTACTCGAGTCTACTCATAACGCAAGTAATTTTCTCCTCTGTCATCTGCGAATGTAATTATCCTCAAATTGCACCGCGGTTCGCATTTATGAGACGCACGAAGTTGTGTAACTATTGGAGAAGCGTCGACACTTGAACATCGTTAAACTCGGGACAAACGGTTTTCATATAATCCTACCGACTTTGGATAATTTCTACGACTTGCATGCACGAAAGAGGTAGGTATACGTGTAACGACAACGAGGAGACCAGAAAACTTTTTTCACTTATCGTTATTGCCACGGTAATGTCGTAAGGTGTCCTGTCCTGCAATAAAACGAGTTTCGATCGCGATAACGATAGTAAAATTTGGAGAAACGAAAAGGATACTTTTTTTTTTTTTTCGTCGAAGCAATTTCTCATTTAGCATATGATAAAATTCAATTCATATATCGTCACTCGATACATTTCGAAAATATTAAAACAATGACAAGTTTCTTTCGAATTTCTCAAAGTATATGTTATATATATTATACATATATACTATATATATATATATATATATACACGTCACTATATATATATATATACACGTCATCGATACAACAAGTTCTCATCCATCGTCCAATTTATCTTACCATCTTTCTCATCTTTCCGAAATGACACAACCATTCGCATTAATCAACGAAATAAAACGCCAAGGCGAAATAAAATACAGACCTATAAATCTCTTTCTTTCTTTCTTCTGCATTTTCCATCTTATTTCGTGCGATTAATCGTAAAGTTGAAGGAAAGAATCCAAAGTACAGAGAATAAGAGAGAAAGAAAAAGAGAGAGAGAGAGAGAGAGAGAGAGAGAATGAGAGAGAATTGCTCTATGCGAAGCTCTAGGCTATAGAAGCTCGCGAGTTTATAAGTGAAACGTTGAAATTTCACACTCGTCGGGACTCTCGCTCGGTTTTCGCACTAAAATTACTGGCTCGTTTGGCGTCCGTGTTATGTCACGCTAACGAAACGCTATCCTCGCGGGGATGATGTACCTGAGGGATGTGAACGAAACGATATCGAGTTGCGTGACTTCCACCCCTCGATGAAAAATATCGCTCGGCTTCATTAGGAAGTTTTTATCGAGAAGGCGATTCTTTAAACGCCCACATCCCTTCTGCCATCATACTTTCTAAGTCTTTATTTCGTAAAAAAAATTACAGAACGAAATTAAAGTAATTTCTTGAAAAGAAAAAGAAAAAAAAAAGAAAAGAAAAGGGCGTGTTATGGTTTAAATTTGAAATGAAACAATAAATTTATTTTCGATCCATTCATTTTCATGTTTCATTTTTTTAGAAGAAAAAAAAAAAACAGAGGAAAAAGAAATGAAAAAGAAAAAGAGATCGAAGAACGAGAATGTTCGTCATTATTATGACGTCGCAATTCGATCAATCATCACATTCTAATTTCACTTTGTCTTCTTTCAGGACGACAGGAGAGAAGATTGGATATACTCGGAGATTCGACCTTGGAACATCATCGAACTGCTCGGGATGTATCGTTGGTGGATAACTACAATGACGGTGAGTGATCGAACGATCGAATCTTCCAAAAATCGCTATCGAAAGCTTCAGGATATCTCTCGGGTATCGTTCGGGTATCGAAAAAGCTCTATCTCTCTATCCCCTTCCCCTTCTCTTTCTCTCTCTCTCTCTCTCTCTCTCTATCTCTCTTTTTCACTCATGCACACCCTCTAACACACACTCGATGTCAGCAAATCAGATTCGCGCGGTTGCGCGTCACGCTTACTGCCGGTAGGTTTTGTTTCAACCGTTGTTATCGTTGTTGTTAAAAGCCGAAATAAATAACCAGGCCATGAGAGGATGAGGGAGGATGTTTCCGCGGGTAACGTTAATAACACTCGTGTATCTAAAGTCAGTTTGGAAAAGTCGTGAAACGGACCATTTCGTGTCGAGCTTTTCCTCGCCTCCGTTTGTTCATTTTATGTTCGAACCAGTGCACTTCTTTGTATTCTTTTTTCTTCCTTTTTTTTTTTTTTTTTTTTTTTATTTCCTCCGCGACAACCATCGTAGATTTTTATTTATTTAAATTCTCGAATATGCATGCGGTAGCAAAATTATAAAATAACAATGTTTAATGAAGTAAGTGCATACGCGAAAAGATTGAATTTCCTCTCATTAAATTTCATTAAAAAAATTATGATAATACAATTTTCCCTATTATTTTCGCTTCAACATTTATTTAATTAACGGTGTAATATATTTTTCTCCAAAGTTTCAATAAAAATTATTTATTACTTGTGTCAATGGGAATCCAAGTGTGGTACTTTTTATTGTAATATTTATTTTCTTTAAAATTTCTACAAAAATCATACATTATAGGAACAATAAAAGTTCGAACATAGAATTTTTCATATCAAAATTTCATGATCTAAAAATATGTATCTATAAATGTGGAATACACGAACACACACACACACACACACACACACAAACATATACATACCACGCCGTTTGTTTTATCGTGCGATCATCAAAACTCTCATCGATTTGTTAGCATCCATTAGACTGTACGAACGATGGACGAGACCACGCGCACTCACAGCTATTTGGATTACGACTTTTTAGACCTTTCGCACTCCTATAACTTGAAGTTTAACGATCAGATTTACGATGACATTTACGAGGTCAGTGCACGAAGCGCCTGCGGAGACCGCTTTAATCGCATTTCGTCCATAATCTGCCTGCTGATTCGTTACGGTAGATACTCATAATTAAGTTATACTTAATCGCACTTAATGTCAAGAAAATGAAATTAAATTGAATTTTTATAATTCTTCTCTCTCTCTCTCTCTCTCTCTTCTCTCTCTCTCTCTCTCTTCTCTCTCTCTCTCTCTTCTCTCTTCTCTCTCTCTCTCTCCCCTTCTATCCAGACGTCGATCCGATTAAGTTCACCTACATTAATGGCATAGATCCATCAATTTTCATGAAGAAGAAGAGGGAAAAAAGGAAACAAAGAAAAAAAACTCGGAAGAAAATTTATATAGATTACGTACGAAGAAAAAAAAGAAAAAAAAAAAATTAAAAGATGATTTCTTCACACTTCTTCCTCTTGATTTCCTATTTCTAATTTGTCGCAATTTCGAGTTGGTTTTTACGCTTCAAGAGATCTATAGTACCAAAGACTGCTTGCAAACGTACGAAAGGAGATGGAAAGGGATATCGAGAGAAAGACAGAGAGAGAGAGAGAGAGAGAGAGAGAGAGAGAGAGTTTCGGCTTGCAATGATTCTCTAAGTGGCCCTTCTCCTCCTCCATCCCTTCTTCTTCCTCCTCCTTCTCCACCGCTTCCTTTCCTTCCCTTCCCTTCCCTTTCCTTTCCTTTCCTTTCCTTTCCTTTCCCTTCAGCCCCTTTATTTGCCCGCTTCGTCGATCAATAACGGCCGCCTCCGTGATTCCAAAGCTCTTCGATGCTGGTGGAAATGGCAAAGCACCACCTTTAAGGCGCTACTACTAGCCATGATTGCGTTCCGACGTACCGAAGTTGTCGCGTGATTCATTCGTTACGACACAATACGAGCTATACTCACCTCCCTCCCTCTTTTCCCTCTATGACACTTTCTTCCTCCCTTTAGTTCTCTTTCGAAGACCGACATTTCGCGGGATAGTAAGCTTCCTTGTTCCTTCTTTATCTACTTTTATTCCTCTCCCTTCTTTCCAACCCCTACATCCCTACCTCGACCACCCCACATCACGTTAGTTCTTACTTCCCCCTATTTTCTTGATACTTACACGAGAGTATTTCCTTCTCTCTCTCTCTCTCTCTCTCTCTCTCTCTCTTTCTCTTTCTCTCTCTGTCTCTCTGTCTCTCTCCTTTTTATTTTTCCTTTCTTTTTTTTCTCTCTCACTTTTTTTTTTCTTTTCTCCTTCGAAGACGCCGTTTCATTCTTACTCTTACTGATACGCTTCCTCCCTCAATCCTTCTCCCTAGTTCGTGGGATTAATCATGTGACATTGCTCGTCGGAAAAATCCTATGATAGCGGAACCTTCTCTTAAAAAAGAAAGGAAAAATTTCTTCGTATATTCGTTTCCTAAAGTCAACACACGTTCTTCTACGTTTGCCGATGTTTTTATGATAATACCAGTTATCGAGGGGAGGGAGAGAGGAGGGGTGGGGGATATGCATGATCGCATCTCCTTTCAACTTAGCATTTCTATTCCATGAGATAGTATTTGGTTGAATCGTTTTAATGTAATATTATCGAACGAATATTCGATCCGTTCGCTAAATAAATAATTTTTTGTTTTTTTTTTGTTTTTGTTTTTTTTTTTTTTTTTTTTTTTTTTATGAAGGAAAATTACTCATTCTTACATTGAACTATATATCATATATTTATATTAGATTTTTTTTGTTTCTTTTACTTTCTCTTTTCTTTACAAAAAAATAAATGAAAATTTTTATTTTCGAACGCATTTAAAGCGTCTTATATATTGTTGCTGCCAATCGAGCGAAGTAACAAAGTAAGTTAATTAAACTCTGTCAAGGACGAATGAACGATGAATAATATAATGTTTACGGTTCGTTTGCGACCTAATCACCCGGATCGACCGTGTTAACGGTGCGTCACGGTAACGCAGTTTACATTTAGATAAGACAAGAGTGACGGTATTATTTCGTGGGATTCGCTATATCCGTCGTGAAGTTATCAGAATCGTAACTGCACGTTTCAGGTAATACGCTTATATAGTAATCCATTTGTATAAAATCAAGATCAACATGAAATAAGAGAATATTCATGATCGAAAGGGAGTATTTCTATAAAAATAATAATTTTACAATTAATTAGGGAAAAAAAAGGAAAAAAGGATTAATTAAGATACAATGCAGTATAATGATAATAAAAAAAAAAAAAAAAGAAAAAAAAATTCCTATCGGTAATATAATTACATTAGTGCATTATATGATGTATTCGAAAAAAAAAAAAAAAATCCATGCTTGGATCTTAATACAGGAGACAGGATCGCAACGAAAATTGCACGCACATTCTCATGAATATTAATGAAAATTTTACAACGATAAAACCGAGCTAGTGTAGAATAAAATAGTTATTCTTAATATAATGGCAAAAAGAAACAGAAAAAAAAAGAAAAATAAATAAATAATCGATGAATAATTTCCTTTCTCTTTTCTTTTTCTTTTTTTTTCTTTCTTTCTTTCTTTCTTTCTTTCTTTCTTGTTCTATTTACGATCATTCGCTCATAATTCAATGAAATGAGATAGAACGGATAAAAGAAAAGCATGAGAAAACCAATATAGATACATATATCGAAAGTTATAAAATAGTATATCCTTATCGAAGTATCTGGTGGCCGGAGGGGGAGCAGGTGGGAGAGGGGGAAACCATTTCGGAAACTTGTGTTTAACGGGGTCCTATCGAGCTCGTAGCCATTGGACGTAAATTGGTGAAGCGGTGAAAGTCACGGACATGTGCACGTAACGCGTTTCGAAGTGCCATTGACTATAGAGAACTGTAGCCAGCTAGTGAATACGTGTAAGTATGTACGATACGTAGATATGTGTACTGTTTCGATAGAAACAAGGAGAACTGTAGGAAGAGGCTTGGGTGAAAAGAGGGATGGTTGGCTGGTAGAGAGAGGGGGGGGAGGGAAGGGTAGTCTTCTCGGTTATCGTAGGTACTCGAATTTCGACAGGGTCTTGTTTCATGAATACGGCCGAACAATGCACTGGGAAATTCGTGGGAACGATTGGTAGGATAGACGAACGGGCGGTGAATAGTTAGTAAACGCTAAGTAACTAGCACTGTATCGGTGTGCCAAGTACATGCGTGTCGCATTCGAGAAGACCATTTCTAACTCATCCTCTTCTACCCGAGTACATCGGGTTCCAAATCTTCTCTTTATAAATCCTCATATATGTATCAATGTTACTTCACGCTCGATATCCCTTTCAAATACAACCAATGAGAAGCTTGCTTATTTCTAAGGAGACTAAAATGAATTGTGATTTTTTTCTGTCAATAAGAAATTCACAAAATCATCATCATTCTCTTATTCGTTTCATTCTCTCTCTCTCTCTCTCTCTCTTTCTCTCTCTCTCTCTCTCTATCCTTCTTCTGTTTCTTATCTTTCTTCTCGCGTCTTTTTTTCTTAATTTCTCGTTTCTTTTTTTTTTTTCTTTCCTTTTTTCATTAATCAGGCGATTGCAGCGACGAGAATAGATATTATCCAACGACACGTTCCAAGTATTCCTAATATTACAATGTGGTTTTTGCATGCCATTTCGAATATTTTGCTTTCGAAATCGACTACCAGACGGAGAAAATTGAATTAGTCGCTAGAGCGTAAGTAGTTATAATTACAACCTATCTTCCTGTCTTCTTCATTCTACGTTTTTATTTTCTATCCTCTGTTCTTCTTTACCTTGTTCTCGATTTTTCCCTTTCAGACCGCCTACCTTTAAGTTTTCTTCGTACGTTGCCGTGCGGTAATGATGCTCATTTCTTTTTTTTCTTCCCTTCCCCCCCTTTTCTTTTTTTTTCTTTT